CACTCCGGGCTCCTCTCCCTCGCCCACACTTTCTTTCTCACACACGCACGCAGACACATTCTCCCTCTCCGCGCTCTCTCCCTTCGTCTCCCTCTCTCCCTCTTTCTCTTTCACTTTTGCATGCCCTGCAACCTTTTAAAATGTTGCCCCTTCCCTGTGATTCGCCAGACGCCGCGCGGCGGCCCCCCGCGCGCTCGCCCGCTCCCTCTCTCGCCCGCTTTTTGTCTCTCGCGCTCCCGCTCCCCACCTCCGATTTGCTACACTGAGGCTCCCGTCAATGGACTGCATTGAGAGCGGGCTCCAGCGCGAGTTGCCTCTCCGCTTCACGCTCGATTTCCAGGCATTCTTCCCTTATTAAGTATTCGTGTAATATTAATAGTCATGAATATCTGCTATTAGGAGGCTCCAGGAACGCTGCCCAGCGTGGTTATTAGAAGCTCAAGCGAAGCCGCCGCTAAGAAAAGAGGGGGAGACACGGATTAAGGAACACGCGCGCACACACACATACACACACGCACACTTTTTCTTTTCCGGTTTTGGGGCTTTTCATTTTCTAAGGAACTTTGAATCATAACCGATCACGGCAGGATAGAGACCGTGGGTTCGACAAGCTGAAGGCGCCGCTCGAATCGGTGGTTCAAGTTCGGATGGACCAGAGCGGGGCTCCAGCGCTCGGGGGAGCGTCGGCGCGGTGACTGGAGTCCTGGGTGGCGCGGGGCTCCCGGCGCCTTTTGTGTGGGGCGTACTCGGGCGGCGGGGCAGCCGGGCTCTCCAGGCTTGCTTGGTTTTTTCCACCCTGACTCGTTACCCCAGACTCTTCGCAGATGTTAGTTCACAGTTTTTCAGCTATGGTGAGTCCCATCCCCCACCCCCATCCCTGTTTCCTTAGGAATTCTGTTCTGGAAACCTGGTGCTGCGGAGCTGCCCGAAACCTTGGGTTTCACGCCCAGGTTTCCGTTAGGGCACCCTTTTCATTTGCATTTTCTTCTTTCCACTTTTCTCTCTGCCATTCTCAAATCGAATGCTTTACCCCGCGTCCCCGCTCCACCTCTCCCGCGCGCAGACCTACCTCGCCGCTACTTCCCAAGGCATGTTTCTCTCCACGCTCATCTTTATTTCCTTGCGTCTTCACTTGTTCCCGAGATGTGCTCGACATTTGACGCTTAATCCGGCTGCAGTAAAAACGCAGCCCAGTGTGCCCCTTACCCTCGGGGCGGGGGCATTCCCTGGAACCGACTCTGTTCTCTTGTTTTGCAAGTGAATTGCAATAGAGGAACATAAAGTCAGGCGTTTCTTCTGCCCTTTGGGGCTGGGGTGGAAGGGGCGGGGGCCTCCGCCCCGGGGTGCACTTCTCTCTTTTAAACCCAATAAGGCTGAATCTTTCTGTTTTAAACCTTGACTTGAAGTCCCCTTCTCCCCATTCATATCACAAACCGACCCCGTGGAGAAAAAGGCTCCTAACTGAGGAAGCGGAAAAGACAGACCCCCAACCTGCAGTTAAAACCTTCTTTAAGCTGGTAATTTGAACGTGTGCTTTCGTTACAGCCTCTCTACGAAATATGTTTCTATTTAAATAGTCATGAAATGCCAATAGTCTTTGAACGTGTATGATTTTTTCCCTCCAAATAAATGGAACAGGATAAACAATAACGCACTAGCAGGCAAGTTCAAATCCGGGGGAAAGAAAAGGCCGCTTCTACTGTTTAATATTTAGCAGGAATTTAAGTTTGCTTAAGGGAGGTTTCACGCCTCAGTTTAACAGCCTGTATTCTGGGAGGCCCTTTTCTATATTTCCTCCCCGTTGAAAGAAAAGGCTAAGGAGAGTCTCTTATGCCCCACATTTGCACAGTCTAATTCCTTGCGTTTTTAAAAGGGCCCTTTTCACTTCTGGGGGCTTTTCCGAAATGAACAACTTAGAGCTCATTTCTTTCGGCGGCCTGCGGACGGGAAGGGGCGGTTTCCCACCCAGTCTTGCGGAGTGGATTTAGTGTGGAAAGCTGATTTCTTGTTCTTCCCTTGCTCTCGCTCTCTTCTAGGACCGTCACGACGGCACCAGCAACGGGACTGCACGGTTGCCCCAGCTGGGCACTGTAGGTCAATCTCCCTACACGAGCGCCCCGCCGCTGTCCCACACCCCCAATGCCGACTTCCAGCCCCCCTACTTCCCCCCACCCTACCAGCCTATCTACCCCCAGTCGCAAGATCCTTACTCCCACGTCAACGACCCCTACAGCCTGAACCCCTTGCACGCCCAGCCGCAGCCGCAGCACCCGGGCTGGCCCGGCCAGAGGCAGAGCCAGGAGTCAGGGCTCCTGCACACGCACCGGGGGCTGCCCCACCAGTTGTCTGGCCTGGATCCTCGCAGGGACTACCGGCGACACGAGGACCTTCTGCATGGCCCACACGGGCTTGGTTCAGGACTCGGAGACCTCCCAATCCACTCCTTACCTCATGCCATCGAGGACGTCCCGGTAAGAGGTCGCGCGGATGGCTCGAGAGGGAGTGCAGCCCCTAGTCACCCACCCCTAGAGAAGATGTTGGAAACATACAGCCGGTGGGCCCGGGTATTCCTCAGTGGTGTTTACTTTTCAAAATTGCGTTTTATTTTTTGGGCGGGCGCTTTCAGGACCCACACAGAAAACCGAATTTAAAAATTAAAAAGAAATAGAGAGTTCTGCCCCTAGAACAATGAATGGTTCCTGGAGCGCCTTCAAACAATGCCTGCATTACCATTTTCACCAACACAAATAAATCAGACAAATGTCACCATTAACAGTATCTTATCCCCTCCAAGACAGTAAACTGTTTCAATTGGGAGAGGCTCTAATTCCACCGCTGAGCCTGGCATGGGAATTTCTCCCTGTCCCGAAAAGGATGTTAAATTCACCCGAAAGAGCTCATTAAATGCCCTAGTAATTTAAAAGAAAGTGTAAAAGACATACTAAGAAAATCATTTTTACCAGATTTTGCAGGCACTAGTGATGTCTGAAAGTTATGTGTATACCCTACCCTGATTAAAGAATAGTTAAGCAGCAAATCCGAGCAGAGGGACGTTAAAACGCAGCCTTCTCTTCCTAGGGGTGCTAAGTGCTGACCTCATAAATCATTAGCCGGGTTCCCAATGCCTATCAGAACCTGCTACACCCCATATTAAATTAAATGTTTTGAGACTATTGGGCAATACATTATTTGAGTTCTAATTCAGTTATCAATAAATGCAGTTAAAAATGATTTCTTAATAAGCATGGTATTAGCACATTTACTATTTACAATGTAAACCAGGCTATTGATAATTTGAAAATACTTTCTGAAATTAAATTTAAACCAGCATCTCTGCTTCAATTCTACATATTTATGGTTTCCTCACAACCTTCCTGAAATGGAATTAGAACAAGCCAATAATTTTATTAAAGCTGTAAAGGCTCTGTTAATGCTGCTTTTCTTTGGAGAGGAAATGTATCTGGATGTGATTTTTGCTAAAATGCTATTTCAAATTACTGCATCAAATATTGCAGCAATATGTCCGTTGACAGTTTAATGATTACTGCATTAGATTGCAAAGAAAATGGTCAGATGAACTTACCTGCTTGCTTGGTGAATTTAAAACATTATTTATGTTACATAGGAAAATAGAAAATTTATTACGTCTCTCATTTAGCCCAGTTAATCACTGAAATTTGTTGGTTATGTTTAGCAGACTTGCATGGAAAGCAGGAAAGTAGGCACTTAATCCAGTGTGGGGTTTAGTAAGCATTGTATGTGTGTGTGTGTGTGTTCGAACATGTTTTCAGAAACTGACTAAACAGTGTATTTCATGGGGAGGAAAATGAGAGGAGCAATAGTGGAGAAAAGAGCAATTAAAAAGCAAACCTGGAAGTTGTGATCATTTTAGTTCTCCTTCCCAAAGAGTCTCCGAATCCTTTTTCTAGACGGCTCTTTGGAAATATTTGAATTGCAAAATAACGTGGTAAGCTTTTGGAACTACTGTGAATTACAATCGCTCTACTTTGCAAAAATTCCAAAGTGGCTGGTGTGAATTTTTAACACCTGTGTAGTCACATTTTGTGGTGAAATTGGTCAGTAGAAAAAATTAACCAAATGATCAAATAAAAACAAGGAAACCCAGTTGCTGCTCTTCCCCTCCCTCCCCAAACTTTTAAGAAAAAAAATTCTTTCAAAGGAATTTGGGTCAGGAAAAGGGTTGTTTTCAATTTCCCCATTGCTGCAACAGTTAACCTTTAATAAGAATGACTGCTAAATATTTAAGAAAATCAAATCGATGGTGAAAATTATTTAATCATTAATATCTCAGTGGGGTTTTAAACTTAACAGTCTTCCCTGTATGGACAAGGTCTAGAAATAACACAAATAAAAGTATTATGCCACACTACATTTACTTTATGAGTTTAGGGTGCATGCATAAAGGGATCATATTTCCCTATATAGTTAAAACACAAGAACTGCAGCAGTAGTCATTTCTGAACATTTCTCAATTTAATTATACTTAAATCCAGAAGCACTTTAGGCAAGTTACAAATGAGAGCATTGAGTATAATAAAACCTGTAATAAAGCAACTTAGTACCATCCACCCGGAATCATAGCGATCAGGCACAATTAACAGGAGCATAAATCCAAGACAGAATGGAAAATGTTCAAATCAGTATTATTGTTGGACAAAGACTAGAGAAGGAAGTAATAGTTTTTTAAATGGTAATGCCTGTGTTTGGTAACAATTGCGAAATCTTCTATCTCAGCAGCCCTGGTGCTAATTTGTAAACACAGCCAGACATTATATTGCCTGTCAGTTTCTGCATTAGAAAACATGATTTCATTTTACTTTCTAATCACGTTTTGACTCTGGCACACACGTATACTCACCCGTCTGTAAAAAAAAAAAAAAAAGAAAGAAAGAAAGCCACATCAACAAATCTGCTGCTGGACAACAGGAAAACCACCTCAAAGGTTTTCTGTGTGTGTTTTTTTTTTCATTTTCATAGTCCTATCTGATTACCCAGTTAAGGCAGCAGTCCTTTTCAAAGTATTTTTTTCATTTTTCCGTAAGTGAAGGTGTGTGTATATGCGTTTGCTCTTTATCACCCTACCTAAAACGTTTCCTATACTCCCGCTACTCTCACTTCCGTCATTTCTATTGTGTTTCTCTGTTTTTTGCTTCCTGAGCACTGGAATCGCTAAAAGTCCGAAGCCGCTGAGGCGCCAAACTAATGCTACGTGCATTTTAAAAGGTTGAACTGATTGTGAGAAAGATTACGTGCTCCAAAACTTGCTTTAATTTCCAAAGAAAGTTTTATTCCCCACCCCCACCTCCTTTAACCGTGGATTATTTGCTGGGGGAGGAGAAATTGGCAGTGGGTGTGCAGTGAAACCTCTTGAGTTGCAAAGCCCCAAATTCCAATAAGCCAAGATGAGATGTTTATATATAAATGTCACTATATGGAGGGAATTTGGACGCTACACCTTCCCCTCCCCCCATCTTGCACGGAATATTCATTTCCTTTTGTTTTGATTACACACTTACATGCATGTGTATCCTTTTGTTGCAGCATGTAGAAGACCCGGGTATTAACATCCCAGATCAAACTGTAATTAAGAAAGGTAAGCCATTTCCTTCTGCATTCCAAGCATGTCCTTACAGGCATAGTGCTATTTAAAAGAACTTGCAGAGCTGTATTTATTTTTTTCAAATAGGATTTTCCTAAAGGCTCAGAATTAGCAAACAGGCATAGAACAGCAATGCTTAAATGATTGGCTTTCAGTACGTTAGTTATGGCAATAGGCTAGCTTTGTTCTGATTCATGATTTGACCATTTAACGATATAGGGACAAACACATGAAATGTGTAATAGTTGAACTGATTTGGAAGTGGCATTTCAATTTTGAAACATTTTAATAGTTTAGTTAATCCATTGTGTGAGTGGCCATTAGTGTTAAGAAGTATAACGTGCTACAAGAGTGCAAATAATTTAATATTAATATAAGGGCAGATGATAAAAAGGCATAGCACTCCTTAGCAGAGGAAAAAAAAAACCTTCCATGTTCTTCAATTTAATTTCTCATTAGCTGTTTAAGGGTTTTTAAACTTTGTGAATTAGGTTAACAAAAATTTGGCTTTTGGTTAAAATTAGCATCTTGAAGATGTCAGGATTGTTAGCATAATTGTTCAGAGCAAAAACTTTTCTAAAAAGTGTCAAGTGATTTGGATGGATTTGTAATATGTATTGTATTTAGTGAGTAGAAATAAAGTTTACTGGTTTAAATGCTATTCACAGCTTGTTGTTGTTGTTGTTATGGTGGCAATATTACATTTCAGGATTTTAGACACCACCAGAGGATGATGCTATATAAAACTGTTCTCATTTCTAACCCCAATCAGTATATTGTTAGCTAGTTTAAAGTTTCCTTTTTGCATCTGTGAAGTCTTTGTCACGTCAAATTAGATGTGCAAGGGATAAATCTTAAGAGATGCTCTTTCCAAGTCGACATGATAATTGGCTCTTTTATTAGTAATCTCTCAAGAGTTCGTTTAACTCCTATTGTCTCTATTAGCCTCCCCAGAGCTATTAATGTCACAAGTGATCTATCCAAAACCTAGAGCCCCCCACCTCCCAATACGTCTAGAATATCCCCATTAAAGAGGCAGGAGTACTGTGATGAGAATGTATACATATTATTATATGTCTCCACGTGGAATTTGTCTCCACGTGGAATTTACAAATACAAATGCATACTGCACTTGAACTGTTGTGAATGCATTTTAATTATATTGATGTTGAGAAATGTAACGTTAATATACTTTCTGCTGGCTTCGAATTTTTTTTCTAACTGTGGTGGGTCCAACAATGAAGAGTTTATAATTTTAACTAGTAATATATTCTCCCCCTCCCTTCCCAATGAAGACGCTTAAGCAGAGAAGGGCTATTAACTATTTACTCAACAAAAGGTCACATTACTAGTATTCTATGGTAGGCCTGTTTATCCTTACTCCCAGTTCAAAACGTGGCTTGTAATGGATTTCCAAAACTCGAGTCTTTCTCAAAACTAAACATAGGAAAGGGCCTATTTATCAAAAGGATGGGGCTTGTGTGGTGTGTGACAACAGAATCCACTACTTCCCAGATTGGTGCCTTAACTGAAATGCTCGTTTACAGGCTGATTTAGGCATCTAAACTCTGGGCTGATTTTAATTATAGGTCTTTGAAGCAATTTCTTCCCAACACTAAAACCCTCACTTCAAAAAACTCCAAAGTACACATAGCTTGTTCTCGGTTTGCAAACGTGACCCACTCCCCTGCACTCTAAACCAGTGCTCCAGCACCTCGTCTGGGTCCCACTCTCCTCGGAGGCTAAGAGCCGAGAGGGTCACAATTTCACCACCATCTCTAATCTCTAGACAGTGCACTTGTGGCTAAAAGGAAAGAGTCCGGGCAGAAGCACAGGCCTGGTTGGTAGGGCTGGGTGCGGTCGCCTCCCGGCGTCGGGCTGAAGTGCGCCAAGGGGCACAGGTTCGATCCCCAGGGCAGTATAGGGCAGGAGTTGGGTAAAGCGCCATGGAATTTTCAGGGATGGAAGAAAAGGGTTTGCGGCGCAAGCCTGGGCGCCAGCCCTGGCCCGGAAGCGAGCCGGAGTCGGGCAGGACTTGGGAGGGATCCTCGACGCCCACACGCGGCCTCCTGGTCTGTCTCCGCAGGCCCCGTGTCCCTGTCCAAGTCCAACAGCAACGCCGTCTCCGCCATCCCCATTAACAAGGACAACCTCTTCGGCGGCGTCGTGAACCCCAACGAAGTCTTCTGTTCAGTTCCGGGTCGCCTCTCCCTTCTCAGCTCCACCTCGAAGTACAAGGTCACGGTGGCGGAAGTACAGCGGCGCCTCTCACCGCCGGAGTGTCTCAATGCTTCGCTGCTGGGCGGAGTGCTGCGGAGGTGAGGCCTGGCGCGGCCCTGCCTGACCTGCCCCGCCCCGCGGCCGGGGGAAACTCTGCGCCTGCGCCGGGGCGGCGACGCAAACCGGCCTCGCGCCACGGCCCTCCCTTCTCGGGAAAAGAAAGGGGCGGGGAGAAGAGCGTGGAACTGGGTGGGTGGGAGCTGGAGGCGGGACGAGGCGGCGCGCGCCTGCGCTTTCTGCCGCCTTCCCGCGCGTGCGGGTGTCTGGCGCGCGCCTGGGTCGGCCGCGGCAGCGCGCTCACCCGGCATCCCGGCCCCTCCCTCCCTTGCCCTCGCGCACGCGCAGCTAGCTCCGCCTTGGGCTCAGTGCCCGCTGCTGCAGCCGCGGGGCGCAGTGCAGCCGTGTTTTTCTTTCTCGCACACACCTTGCGGGCCCTGGAAAACTTCCTCTCGGGCTCCTCACTGTACCACCGTGTATGGTCTCCGACGGTAACCCATCATCACTTGAATAGGGTTTTAAGTGGAAGACAGTGGCTTTCTCTTGGGTCCGCACCTCTTCCACCCCCCACCCCCCCGCCATTACCGCCTTCAGCCTGATGGCGACTCCCGGTGCCCAAGGCACTGGCATTAATGATTGCAATGTTTGGCGGCCCCGATGCGTGCTAGGCAACGTGCAAGGCACTTGTAAGTGCGTTATGTATAGTCATTACCGACGAATGCTTGTTACATAGGTAACCAGGGACTCGCATCTCACCCCCACAAGGTCGGAATGACTCATTTCATAGATAACATTTTATAAGGGTCAGCGAGGTGAAGCATCTTCCTTCAGGGCAGGTTTCTTCCTCCTTGTAGGCTTCCTCCTCCTAGGGTCCCCCCCAACGTTTTGAGTGGTGGGTCTTGTGTTGAACGTTCCCGGGCAATATTTTTCTTCCTTAAAAAACAAACAAAAAAACCCCCATACACCAAACACTTCATCCTTTTGACATTTATTCATTTATCTATCTATGAATAGTTCCACTCTGGTGGGTATATCCCATACAAAGCCTGTAATACCGTTTTCCGAAGATTTTAGCATCAGCTATTTGAATCTTTTCTTCACAGTCATTTTGCTGTCCCTTTGTCATCTTTCACTGTCACAGATCTGAATCTACCCTCTGCCTTTTCCTCCCCTTCCCCCATCCCCAATATTGGAGACTGTTTACCTAGGGGAGTATAATCTAATCCACACAATTAAAGAGCACTTGAGTAGGGAATAAAATCTGAAATTAATTAATTTGCTGTTTTATTTAAACAATTTATTTTAACCACTTTCTGATTATGGGAGTCTATTTAGACATCTATTTAGAACTGCCTCCATTGTCTCTGAAATTAGTGGAATTTTTAGCCGCTGATACCAGCTTTTGACATTTCCAGTTAGGCTGGTGACATGGCATGTAAACAGTTGGTGAAATGAATTTCCCATTGGGGCTAAAGCCAGAGCAAGAAATGTGCGAGTGATGATAACTTTGGTTATTCTGAACAACCTTAACAGCAGATCTTACAAAGACAATTTAAAGACCCCATTGGGATTTGTGTGATTGTAACAAAAGGAAAATATACAGTAATCAGCTGAACTTTAAAAAATACCTCAAACTTGGAGGTGAGAGCTGTTGTTTGTTGGTGGGGTTTTTTTGTTGTTTTTTTTTAGAGAGTTGGGAAATCAAAACCTTCCAAGCTGCCACAATAGCTTCAATAATTACTGAACACAGGGGCTGTTTTACAGTTTAACAAACATTTATCTTCTACAATCTTATGTGTCATTTCTTCCTAGGTTTCCCTCAAAGATCTCTCGAGGCCACGATTCGTAATTTTAAAAGCATAGTTTAGGAAATTGTCAAAATGACTGTAATGTGATGCAGAGTAACCCAATGTTTTCTAAATCCCTTTCTCATTTATATTTGTGAAAAAGGGCGAAGTCTAAAAATGGAGGAAGATCTTTGAGAGAAAAACTGGACAAAATAGGATTAAATCTGCCAGCAGGGAGACGTAAAGCTGCCAATGTCACTCTGCTCACATCACTAGTGGAGGGTAAGTGAGTGTACTTGCTAACAAGAAGGGAACTTTCTCTGGGAAAATGGATAACACTCAGTGGTTTGGTTGTATTTTGTGTCAATTGGGCAGTTCCATTTTTTTCCAGAGAATAAAGCGGGAAGTGAACAGAATTCTTGCGTGTCAGAAAACTATTTGCATTTACTCCTATCCTTTCTTTCCCTCTGCCACGAAATTACACCTCCCTAGCCCAATTCTGACCTAAACAATTGTGAAAATTTAAGAACGGCATATCCTCCAAGTTCCTGTCTGCTTTATAGAGCTCAGCAGTAAATCACTTAAGGTATTCTGACATCTGCGTTTGAGAAATGCGTGACCATTACTTCCTGAATTAATTTGGGAATCTTTGACCTGCATCCTGATTTAAGACTGTCCTGAAAGCTCAGGGTTATATGCCCTTTTAGGTTTTTCTTTTTCAAACATATGCTCCCTTATCTCTCCATTAACTGTGCTTTTCTACTGGAGGGGAAGAAAGTGAGCTATTTTAGACTTTGAATTGTTTAGATAAGAAAAGAAAAAAGAAGTATAAGCATTGCAGAAAGTTTCTCGTGGCAGTTTTTTAACACACTTGCACCCACTCATGCATGCATGCACACATGTAACACACATATACAAGCTTCCAAACCCCTCAAAACAAAAGCTAACTCTGTCCTCACTCCCTGCTCTAGCTATACTGTCACCAGAATTCACTCACATTCCTGCTTCCTTTAAATTCCTGTTAAGTTTTTCTGATACTAAGTTGGTTTAAGTTTGAATGTGTTGGAATAAATGTATAGCTTTCATGCATTTTTGTGTTCTGTTGGAAATGTCATATGCCAGTAAGAAAAAAGGTACTTAAATTATCAGGCAGATTTCAAAACTGCCATTTTTGTTTAAAGAAGGCATTTTATCTTATTTATATCTTGTATTTGAAGAGATGTATTACTGTTGAACTCAAGTTCTAGCTTTGTAAATAACTTTAAAAAATGTGTAAGGCCATAAATTTAAGGAGAAATCCCATGAACCACTTGTTAATGGTGTCAAAGATGATAATAATATAACTGTTAAATAATAAGCAATTGTTTAGTGCTAGAAACTCATCTACAGTAGCATTATATTCACTATATTAAAAATAATACCTGTGCATAGAGAACACTCTTTCCATACCTCAAAAGAACTATAAGCAAAGAAAATGATAGTAGCGGTTTTGGGGGTAGTGTTAAGAGTATTATGTATGGGTTTGGGGGTCGAGTCTTGTAGCAGGGAGGCAGTTTCTGGAGAACTGTTATTGTTTGTGATCCGCTCCATTTTATGGAAACAAGCTCTGTGGAGAGGGCTTTGATGCTCTAATTGGCGCATGCGTTCTTCCGGAGCTGGAGCTAATGGCAGGAAGCCCTGCAGTAAAAACCAACTGGTTCAGGAAATTAAAACCAAAGATTCGAAAATCAACAACACAGACAGACTCAGTGGAGTGACCCTCAAATCCTCTTGGTTAATCGGTTTGGATGAACAGATAATTATATGTGATCAAGTTAAAATGTAAACCCTTAGCTGTTGTTCCCTTGCAGAAAAGCTCAAGGAGTAATTATGAATATCATTTATGAATGTGTTGATAGGTGTGAGGTTGGAATACAAGAAACATTTTAAAAGAGAAGTTGGGAAAATGTTATTAGGATAGGGGAGCAGACTAGAAGGTAGTGGATGGGATTTACATTTTCAAATCATCTTGGCCTTAGGATAAGTGGCCATTTTCCCTGATAACTACATCCACCGGATCTTACAGAAAAGGAAATAAAATGCCTGAAATGAGAAAACAAGTATTTTGTGTTTCCTTCAACATCTGGGTTAAGAAAATAAGGGATTTGGGAGGAAGTTTTGATCCCAACTCTTCATTCTCTTGCACTCGCCTCCTTCCTCTCACCTCTTGCCAGGAGAAGCTGTCCACCTCGCCAGGGACTTTGGGTACGTGTGTGAAACTGAATTTCCTGCCAAAGCAGTAGCTGAATTTCTCAACCGACAACATTCCGATCCCAATGAGCAAGTGACAAGAAAAAACATGCTCCTGGCTACAAAGTAAGGCGTTTACCTCTTCAGGGTCTCTGTGTCTCATTGTGAAGAGAAACAAAAATCAAAATCATTTTCTGCTCTCACATTTCTCCTCTTTTCCTTTTGTGTTAATCAGCTTTGTTGTAAATATTGAAGTCACAACCCAATCTTATAAACCATAACCTATTTTAAAGGGAAAATACAAGTAGTATTGTTTGTGCGTTTCCATTTTTTCCCTCTCTTCTGCCCCATCTTCTCATTAAAAAAAAAAAATGTGTGTGGGGAATAGTGGGGATTTGATTGAAGCTGAGTGTGGATTTGTGACTATGTTGTTTCCGAAAGGCCAGAATCAAGTTCTTAAAGGGGTAACACGCTTGCCTAGATCAGTTTTTGTCTTCTATCAATGTTCTCCAAGGGCAAGGATTAAGCAGTGGCCTGCAAAATGTGCAAGCCAGAAGCTGTCCTAGTTTCAATCCTAGTCCCTTATCCCATTTCTTGCCTTCCTTTCTCCTCCCTCCTTGAAACTCTGCCTCTCTCTCTCTCTCCCTCTCTCTCCCTCTCCCTCCCTCTCCCTCTCCCTCTCCCTC